TACAAGTTGTAGGTGGTAAAAGCATTTATACCTTTTTGTCATTTCTACATTTTATTCTGTGAATCTTTCTGTCCAAAGAGCTAAAGTCTGAATTAATAGTTTAGCTGGTGTCAGCGCTATGGGCCGAATCCCTCTATTTTTTATATATTGCAGACAAATGCTCTCTTCTGTTTTGTCATTTTGTGAAAAATTGGGTAATACTAGAGCAAGCTGTTTCAGATCCTAATTTTAGTTTCAAATTTTTATTATGCCTTAGGCAATTTAAATTATTATATAGCTGTAGATAAATGAAACTCTTGATATACACCCAGCCCTCAGAATTCTTATTCCTCATTCTTGCTATTTTAAAGGAGATGAGAATATCATAGACCTTTTTCTGCTGGCAAGTTGTGGGTATGGTCATTAGGGTTTTACTAGTTTTGAAAAAAACAAAATAAAACAAAACACTGCTGCTACCTGCCAGGAATATTGAATATTTAGTTTGTAACCTTATCTTCCTTTTTCTTATTTTTCTTTCTTTTTTGTCTTTTACCCTGTAGCGTCTGGGAAGTTTAACTTTGGTATTTATTATACTTTTATGTAACATAACTTAGGAAGTTAAATCTTGTTTTCACCACTGCCTTTGAGTTCTTCATTTTTATGCATTTTACTGAGCTAAAAAAAAAAACTGTTCTATATTATTGGTCTTAAAATTTGTCTTTTTTATTTAATTTGAATTCATACCACTAATGTTCAGATTGTACTTTTGTTCTTTCTCATGGTCCATAAGTAAGTAGTTACTACTATTTAGTAGGCAGTGCTTCTCCTTTTCTAATTTACTTCAAAACAGCATTGTGGGGGTAAGTAGTAGTATTTATCGCTGCTTTACAGAAGATTCCTAGAAAGGTAAAGCAACTTGTCCAAGGTTAAGCACCTATTAAATTGTGAACGTAGGAGATGAACTCAGTTACATAATTTTTCTGAGGTGTTTCCTGTACCCAAGGCCATGAAATTACATGGAATTGTCTTTGAGTATAATAATAATACTTATTCCTGTCTCACTCAGCCCATTTCTGATCTCTGAACTGGTATTTATTATCATTTAATGGGGTTTGAACCTCAGAATTAGCTTAACTTTAACCTTATTTTCAGGAATTGTTTTATCTACTAACTCCCCTCTCTGGATCAGATTCCATGTTGTAGTTTATTGATTTCAAGGTGCAGGCCCATTCAACCCTGCACATTTTAACATCATTAGAATCAAGATGTATATTTCAGTGGAATTCTTATTCTGCATTTAGTAGCTTAATGTTGTTTGGGTGCTGATTATCTTGACCTCTATCCAATGTAGATAAAAATTCTTTAACTTCCTCTATTCCATTTCAGTCATCCCTTTTTAAGAAGAACTATCTACAATCCTAAATTTCCTGTTGTAACTAAACTTAGGAGGAAAAAGTAATATTTTGAAGAAGAGAGACAAAGGCAGGAAGTAAAGATTTTGTGGGGAGTGATATCTTCATTTCTTCTGAAATGATTTCAACTGGAGCATTGTTAAAAGGCTGGTTTTTTCTTAATAAAAGATTTCTACTAGATAATTTATTACAAGCAAATACAGAACACAAAAACTTGGTGGGCCTTTGAATTTTTCTTATTCCAGAAGAAATTCTGTTTAAGAATCTTAGCAATATCCCACTTATAAAATCAACCTCCCCACACACATACAGTTAAACCTAGCTAAAATGGGAATTAGATATAGGAAATTAAAAGTAAGAGTAGCTAGTCACTTTGATCTCCGTGATTCTAATTCCTGATCATCTTTTCCTTTTTTTAATAATTATGATTGTTTATATTGGTATTTTGAATTTGTCTGAAATCTAAGTTTTATATATATATATATATATATATATATATATACGCACACACACACACACACACATAAATGTACATAGGCATACTCATTTTTGACTAAAATGTCCAAGTCAGCAACATGAGATTTTCAAAAGCCAGACAATTTTATTAGCACCTCTAACATTGTGTTAGCTTTCACCTATAGCTGTTCTATGCAAATGTATAACCAAAGGAAAGCTTATGATTAGACTGCCCAGAGTGAGGTATTCTCACGTTTTTGTTCTCCAGAATTTGTTTCATCAGCTTCATGTTGAACAATGCCACTTTTGATCGTTTGGATCTGCCTTCCTGTGCCATTGGTAATGTTTGTTACCTTCTCTTCTTTGGCCTCTTTTGTGATTCATTTTCATAATCCTCATCATTGGCTTTTACCTCCATTCTCAATCATACAGATGCTAGTTTTTTCCCCCTAAGATTTGAACTTTGGTATTTTTCTTCATGACTTGCTGTTGTAAATTTCTGTGACCAGATTTGAGTTGAGTCATATCTATAACTTTAGCCTTAGCCTTAACCTTAGGTTTTTTTTTCTTAGGTGTCTGGCTTCCTATTTCTAGCTCTCAGGTCACATCTCTGTCTCAATATGCAACAGCTGGTAGGAATTTTACAGAACTGTGGAGTTGTTTGGTGATTTTCTTAGCTGAAAGTCCAGGAAAATTCTTGATACTATTTGTATTATTTGTGTTATGTATGCACATACATATGTACACATCTTTGTATGTGTATATTTATTTTTATAGATACTTTAAAATAGAATTCAGTGATTGGAGAAAAATAATGAGGTCTAAAATTTTTTATTTGAAAAGTTCTTTTTCAAGTGAATATAGTAAATGAAATATTTACCAAATGAATATAGCAAATAAAATATTTACTTTATGAATATAGTAAATAGATGGTGACAAGCAGCATATTCTATGATAGTCTTCATCTTCTTATTCCATTTTCTCTTCCCTTTTTCCCTTGCTTTTCCATTCCACTGTAAGAGAAAATAGCTCAGGAAACTAGTTTACAATCAGTAGTCTTGGAACTTCCAGGATTCTTTGCCAGAATCCCCCTGGATGTTGCAGATCCTGACGTAAGCAGCATTGTTCTGGGGTAATTTTTATAATGCTGTAAGGCAGAGTGGCTAAGGTTGATAAGTGCAGGTGTTATCCTTTGCAGAAACTCAGTTGGGAATCCTTTTCTGCCAACTTTTGTATTCATCTGTAAATTTCAAAACATGTTCCATTACCCCCCACTCCCATCAGAACAACAATGATGGACTTACATAAGAGTTTTCTATTTCTGAAGACTTGGCTGTCTTTTGTAATCAGTATGTTCTTTAGAGGACTGTCCTCTTGTCCCAGAATCCCCTTTCCTTGTTACCACTTTTTTGTGTGTTATATGCCATCATTTATTTGGAAAGTTTTTAGATTGTCTTTTTCTGTGGATCAGTTTTGACTTAAATAGGACTTATAGGGAATTATAATTAAGCTTGTCTTTTAGATTTTTAAAAAACTAGCCCCATGCCAAATAAAATACAGGCATTTAAATATCATTATTTTGTGTTTATTTCTGACTATATTTCAAGCCTTTTAAAACCCCAGTTTATTGTCTTACTAAAGCACTGTGCTTATTACCTACTCAGATAATCTTTACATAAAGTACCATAGGTCAGAATGCTCTATAAAGGACAGAAGCTAGAGAAATGGGAAGGTACTTAAAACTATCCATTTAAGATTTAATGTTTATGTATAACATTAAACTCATATCAAGAAGCCCTTGTAATATTTATTTTAAAGAAAGACAAGGAGGAATTGCTTTGGTTCTTCCTTTCACCTTACAGAACCCCCAGAAGTGGGCAATAAAAGAAAACAGAAGAAAGTACTTTTTTGTTTTGTTTTGCTTTCTACTTTGGAAACATATTTTTAGTAGCTGATAGTACTCCAAGGGTCATGGGGTTACTGTTATCAAAGCTAAACACAAATAATTAATGATTATGATTTGATCTAAGCAGAAGGTAGAATACAGATCAATAGTACATTAGCCAGTACCCAGATATTTTAGGAAGTAGAAAAAGTAATGTGCTAGAAGGAACTTTTCTTGCTAGGAAAACTTAGTATTTTAAGGTAAAATATTTCCTTTTACCTTGTTTTTGAAATCTGTAAAATCAAAATATCTTTTCATCAAATTATTTTGTTGAAGATGAAATAAGATAATATATTTGAAAAGTTTAATGATTGGACTCTAGGAAGCCTTGAATAAATTTAGCGGTTATCATTATTATTTGGATTTTTTTAAAAGAGAAGTTCTCAGGGACAGCTGATGGTTATAATGAACCTGCAGTTTGAGATTTGACAAACTGAAGATACTTGAAAATGGTGTCCAACTTTTACTGATTCAGGGGAAATAAATGTAACTCCAAACCTGCTAGATGTCAGACACGCCAAATTTGTGTTCCCCACCAAGGGGAACACAAATACCAAGAATCGAAGAATGAACTCTAAGGAACAACAGAGGAAATACTTATTGAGAGAGAGAGAGAGAGTGCCTGAGAGTCAGTAGAAGATCTGAAAAATAGGTTGCTGTGGACCTCACTTTACAGAGGAGTTTTTATAGAGTAAAATCATAAGATGGATACAGTGTGGGACAAAACTATGATCGGTCGATAAGATTACAAGTTTAGCTGCTTAGGTAAGATTGATCCAATGGGGAAGCAGGTCATGTAACAAGTGTACCTGGAAAGCACATATACCCTTCTAGGAAGAGGTGAATCTCAGGGAGTCTTGATCACCCACTTGGGTGACTGATGTTAACGTATTGTTTTATCTTGGGGAGACATGGAGGGTTGGTCATTTTGTCTTTATCTTGAGGCCTGGGCCACCACAGATGTGCCTCTGCCCATGGTTGTAATATGTTTTCATTTTCTGTATTGATTCCTCTGAGGGCCTAGCCTTGTCTGACTGCCTACAATATTTTTATCTAGCTTAGCTGTCTATAGCTCTGCCTGTTTGTTGAATCTTGCTTTAGGAAAGCAGAAAATTTAAATCCTTTCCTTGGGTTTAGTAGAATTAATTTGAAATCATTTTATCTTAAAAGTGGAATAACTACAAATATCTTTTTTCCCTTTGTTTCAGGTTTCCCCTCAAAAAACCAATAAGGTAAGTTATTCAGTTGCCCGTCATACTAAAGTTTAGGTTAAATTTTAATTAGAAACATTCCTTCAAAATTGTGGGAATTTTTGTGGTTTTTGAGAACGTGGGTTTAAGTAGTACAAAATTTCATAATGCTTCACAAATTTAAAGTATAACAGGTGTTGCATATTATTTCTGGAACACAGCATTGTTTTGATAATATTTTTAATGTTTTTAATATAAGCAGTTTTAAAGTTTGTTCAAATTGATACTTAAGGTCACTCCCTGTGAATAGATTTAATTTTAAAATCTATTTGTGACTGTTTTGAATTTTGTTTTTGAGAGGTGAAAATGGATTGCTAGTTTGTGGTGTGTTTTATCACTTGAGTGACTGTAACTGTTTAATGAACTTTGGTATTGGTTTAGCCTTAATTACTTTAAGACAAATGTTCACATTTGTCTGTACCCATTTCTGTGCATTTACCTCCTGGGATGAGACATCTACGACTCTTCTAAGATTTATACTAACACCTCTTTTCTCTCCTCTTAATTGTCATAAATATTATTTAAAATGTAGGTAATATGTCTTTTCTAATTTTTATAGTGCTTTTATCATGTTTAGTGCTAGTGTGAATACCAAGGCTAAGCTAACCCTGGCACTTCAATTAATTAGTAGTATATGTATCATAGTTAGGGTGTTATTTGTTTCCCAGCCATTATCTGATCAGTATAATTGGCTAGACCATAGGAAAAAATAATTGTGGTATCATCTTAGGCTTGAAGGTGGTTGGCTAAGACTTCTTGTTTGTTTGTTTGTCTTCCAGTACCAGGAATTGAACTCATGACTTTGCACTTGCCAGGCAGGCGCTTTGCCGCTGAGCTAAATTCCCAGCCCTGGTTGGCTAAGACTTCTATGGCTAGAACTATATATATAGGCAGGCTTGAAGTGAGACTTGCCTGAGGTTTATTTTTAAAAACAGTTCTCATGCATCTTGCATTTATACAGTGATTTTGAACTTGCCCATAGTATATATAGAGTTAGAGAATATGTTTAATTCCTTTTAGGCACTATTTCTTTACCTGTTAAATGGAAATGATAGCAATGAACCTGTGAAAACCAACTAAAAAATTAGACATGTTTATTTCTAAGAATAAAGAAGACTTTATTAATGAATACTGTTATTTGAAGTATTTTATAACTAAATGAATAAACTGTATTATACATGACATAGACCGAATTTTAAACCTTTTTGCAAAATATAAATTAAGCTCATGATGCTATGTAAGGCAAAATGATTTCCTAGTTTTCCCTCCATAAAACATGCTTTTGGGACTTTTAAATTAAATTTTTATTCTGATTCCTTTCTTATAGTGAACATTTGATTGCTTTAATTTAATTTAGGCATGGAAGTATTTTGAATCGAGAGTCACCAACAGATAAGAAGCAGAAAGTTGAACGCAGTGCATCCCATGATTTTGACCCCTCAGGTAAAACACTATTTGTTCTTCCAATGAATACTGAGAATAATGAATTCAGAATAATACAGTTTAAGCCCCCTGAAGCACTTAGGAGTTGTTTTATATGTTGTACTCTTTCTCTCCTCCAATCATATAATTTCAAACTTTTGCATTCAGCAGGAATGCATATATTTTTAACTTTCAACACTATAGATTTCACTGAAATATCATTGTAGGGTATATTATAAAGTAGTGATAATAGAAATAGTTATTATAATTGAAGATTTCAGTCACACTGAGAACCCAAACTAAGACGCATCATGGTGCATAGGTGCATGATGCATAAAATCAAAGCTATAATATCTACAGATTTCTTTGGCAATTTATAAGTTGTGATTATAGTGAATTAAAGTATTAGAATAAATACACCTTCAAAATTAATACCTTTCTCACTGTAGAGTAAGCAAATACTGATTCCTTTTGTTCAAATAGTATTGTGAACTCAGCTTTCAACCTCCATAGTGTTGATCTTTCTTAAGAGTTTTTATGTTAGCAGACTTTAATTATTCTTAGTTTTATTCATATAGATAGAATTTGGTAAAATACATGCTTTTCCTTTAGCTTCTCCTTGTAAATTCAATGTTTGATTTATAAAAATTGCTTAATTTTGCTTTTGTTATTTGAAATAGTATATGTTCTTTGAGCACATACTATTTTATTTAGTTGTATGTCTCTGTGACAAAAGATAAAGTAAATGCTGCAATTTCAGATATATAATACTGTATACTGTGTCTTTTAAAGATTTCTACTTATAAATAGTTTAAATATTTAACAGAGACTTATATATACATATATAATTAGGATGTTTCATACTTTGACTATGAATTGCTTATTTATTTTAAAATAATATTAAACATATTACCTAAGAAAGAAAAACTAGGACGTAGATAGCTATTACTTTACCTGGTTCTTGGTTACTAGGTAAGAAGAAATTCCAGTCATCTCTTTAGGAGACTTTTATGGTGAGAGTAGTAATGTGTCACTTAGGGGTTTCCATGGAGAAAGAATTCTCAATTTTTAACACCTGGTTTTGAAGTCATGGGGCTCAGAGGCTCTCATTTATATGAATAATTATTGTCTTCCTGATAAGGTACAAGTTTCTGCTGTATGTTCATAAAAGTATTATGGTCTTATTAGATTTATTCTGTATTGTTCATCTGTGATATGCCCTCTCCAAAGCCAGATTTAGCAGAGATATAATACTTCATGATGAGATTATTATGGCTCTTTGTCCTTTTATCATCACTACAATTACCAGATAATATATTTTACAGACTATTCATGTGTTTTTTTAATTACCCTGTCTTTTCTTCAATAAATCTTTAAAATGTGTCATTACCTGTACTGTTCATGACTGTTCTAAGTGCTATCATCTATTATGTTCATACTTTATGTTTGCACGATTTAACTTGGTCATGATTCATTCCTTTTTTCCCCATGAATTTTTCCCCTTACATTGGTCTCCATATTTTCTATATCTCTCCTTTTCTCCCGCTCTTGTGCAGATAGCTCCTCCAAGAAGACAAAGTCTAGTTCAGAGGAGAGTAGATCCGAGATATATGGTAAGCTAATGTAGCTAATTCAGCCTTGCACCTTTGGAGCTTGCTTCATGCTGTTTCTTTTTTCTTCTTCCTCCTCCTCCTCTTCTTCTTTTTTTTTTTTTAAATAACTGCAGCCTTTCTTGTGTCTGCTCTGCATGGCATGATATACTGCAGGGAAAGGGAGCCTGGGGTTTTTATGTGGCTATGATATGAAAGCTTAAGGTGCTAGAAACTAACGTAGATTGAGAATAGGCCATATTGCTCATCTCTTTGTTTTTGTTAGGAAAGTGATAATTTCTAATATGTTTGAATCAGTTTCCTTCAAATAACATAAATGGGTTCTGAATTGTTGGCATCTTCTTCCCATATTCATTTGTGGAATTTGAATTAGGTAAAATTTAAATAATTAAATCTTTTCCTCTAAGTATAGTACTTAGATAATAGCATAATTTAAATGTGTTAGCAGTTTTTTGGAATTTTTTTTTATATTTTCTTTCTTTTTCATTGCTTCATCACCTGGAAAAGTCATTCTTATAGAATGTATCCATTATAGCAAAAAAATATATTATTTTCATGCTTGAAGAATTGGTCTGTGCCTTTAGTTTTTTTGAAACTTATTCTGAGTAAGAATATTTCAAAATGATACCTTTAAAAATAATTTTCACAAAGAACAAGTTTACCCTCATTGGTCACCCTTTGCAACAGATGATTGAAATGTTACTATTTCTAGACTGTGTCGTGTGTTCCAAAGAAATAGTAAGCCCATGTTTGTGAAAGTCAAGCAGACTTTTCCTTTTCCTTTGCAGTTTTACCTACACGCGTCTGTTCTTTTGGCATATAATTAATCTCTTGAGAAAAGGGAATAGGAAAGGCATTACCCAAAACAAAGATTTTTAAAAATAAGCTGTGCAAGACTATTACTTCTTCCTTTCCCCTTTCCCTCATCACAGAAAGAGAAAAGAAAAAAAATGTTGTATATACAAGACAGTTAAGACAGTTACACAGCTAGCCTCTCTCAGTTCCTTGAAAAGAATGTTTTGTGCTGATATTGTTTAGACAAGATATCATGCCTATATCTTAAGACAAAGACAATAATATGCGATGTATCAGCTGTTGTAACTGTCCTATTAACCTGTTTTGACACACGGTGTGATTGTTTATCTTTTTTCTCTTAAAAAACTGTTACTTCTTTTAAGGAAATTCCAAATTTGGAATTTGGAAAAAGACAAAACAAAAAGACAAAACAAAAACAAGCCCTCTGTTATAGAGCCAAAAGTTATCAAGAAGTTTAGCCAGGTGCAGGTTTTCCCTAGCTTGATATATAGAAGCGAGGAAAAAAATATGGAATTGTCTTTTTTCCCTTTAAAACAGTTGACAGTTTACATCTACTGGCATTTGAGCCCATAATATCAGATACTCATTAATATTATGAAGCCTGAAGTGTTTGGTTCTATTATGAAGTGTTTAGTTCCAAACTAGTCTTTCAGTGTTTCTATGTTACATATATACACATAGTGTTTTACTTGGCCTTTTCTAGAACATGTCAAGTTTATGCTACCCTCCAAAATATTGTTGACTGCTAATGAGAAAGAAATAGCTCCCTAATTCCTTAAGACTGTCTTCCTGTTGTAAGTAAAGAGCTTTCTCTAGTTTACTCTGTCCAAAGGAGTATGATTATTACCCTGATAGCTCCATTCTTTTCATTAGTCTTTGCAGCATTGTATTTCATCTCCCTCACCATTATCCCACATCTGTGATATGTATGCAGAAACTTGCTACTTACTTTGGTTGAGGACTAACAATTTAAGAATTGATGACAAGAAATATTAGACTAATATTTTTCTTACCAGTGATAGGATATTATACTAATTACATCATGCCATTAGCTTGGTAGTATTAGAAAAATTTTAAGTGGTAGTTGGTTAGTAAGGTGTAGCCTCTTTGTGTGTGTTCCGTAAGAACCCTTGAAATACCTTGTTTGGAAGCAGCTGAGCCACTAGTCCTCAGAAAGCGCTCATTAGAGAGGTGAGTTGATCAGGACAGAGTTTGCATGCTAACGTAAATCTTTTTTGACATTACAAATGTTTTATCACCTGTATAGATAGACTTTAGGCTACACTCCAGAGAGTCAAGGAAAGTTTGGAAATATGAGAATGTGACTGAGAAGAATCATAGCAACAGAGAACATTTCTGCTTTAGTGTAGGTTCTTACTACAAGCCCACTTCAAGCTTTTGAGATTACAGGTTATCTTTTCTTGGGGTAAAATTTTTTTATCTGAGTATTTAACACAAACATTATTTTAAGCTTTCTTAGACATTTTTAGAGCTATTTTGTGAGAGGGAATTACTGCTTCTTTCAGAAGGAAACCAAGCTTCTGTTTTGTATTGACTTACTAAGTTTCTATCCGGAGTAATCAGTCAAAATGTATTCCATTTCCTCTTAAGGTTCCTTCAATACCTTGTAGAGTCTGTTGGACATGTAATGGATATTTTTTCATCTGCAGTTTGAATGATACTTGATTTTCTATTTTTCTTTCTAACATTGTAATGAGGGACTTTTGTGGGATTACTTTGAGATATGAATTTTGAATTGGACTATAGCTTTTTCCTCACTTCTGTCATGGTATCCTGAAGAAAGTTCTGTTAATATTATTTTGGGCAAGAATAAACCATGTCCTTTTTAAGCTGTTTTAGCATACTTGGGCTGCCCTAGCAAAATACCATGATCTGTGTGATTTAAACAACAGAATTTTATTTTCTTACGGTTTAGAGGTTTTGAAGTCTGATGTAAGGGTGCCAGTGTGGTTGGGTTCTGGTGAAGCTGCAGATGGTTGCTTTCTTCTTATATGGCCTTTCAAGAGAGACTGAGATTCTGATATCTTTTCTGAAGTAATTGTAAAAATCTTACTCATGATTTTATTGAAGCATAATTACCTCCAAATGACCAATCTTCAAATGCAGTCAAAGCATCAGTATATGGATGTCCTGGTTACTTTTCTGTTGTTGCTAAGACAAAATACCTAACACCCAGAATTAAGGAAGGAAAGGTTTATTTAGCTCACAGTTTGTAGAGGTTTCAGTCCATAGGCTGGCTCCAAGGCACATGGTAGAGGGCAGCAGTTCATGGCAGGCGGAAGACAGCAAAAGCAACAAGAGCAAAAGGGAGGAGTGCTTGCAGGCAGCCTCTTTCTGTCCCTTATGTATGCAAACTATCCGCCCCAGGGTGGATATGAATCAATCATAAACTCTAAAAGCCGGCCTCATGACTTCTTGTGTCTTTGGGGGGACAGCCAGACACAAACCATAACAATGGATTTTGAGAGAACTTAAACATTTAGTCCATAACAGAAGCAACCCATGTAGGTTGGATATCCTTATCTGAAATGCTTGAGAATAGATTTAGGATTATAGAATTTTTTAGTAGCTTGGTGTAGGTAATCCCAGCATTCAGGAGGCTGAGGTAGGAGGATTGCCACAAGTGTGAGGCCAGGCTGGACTACATAGCAAGATCAAGATCAGCCTGGAGTACACAGAAAGACCTTGTCTCAAAAAATAAAACAAACATACAGGAATTTTTTTAGAGTACTAGCATATGCATAATGATATATCTTGGGGAAGGAAATCATGTCTAAACATGACATTTACATATTTTCATATATACTTTATATACATAGCCTGAAGATAATTTTGTACAATATTTTCAATAATTTTGGATGTTTTGACTGAGATTAGTCACACGTCAAGTGTAGAATTTTCCACTTGTGGCATCATGTTGGTTCTTTGTGGCATCAAGTTTCAGACTTTGAAGTATTTTGCATCTCAGATTTTTAGATTAGAGATGATCAATCTCGACTTGAAATATCTTGGTTGGGTACTTCAGAGTATATTTTTAAAAACTCATTTTTATTTTATTTTTTTATTTTTTTTCCCGGTACCGGGGATCGAACTCATGACCTTGTGTTTGCCGGGCAGGCACTGTGCCACTGAGCTAAATCCCCTACTCCCAAAAACTCATTTATTTTTCATAGTCAGGACTCATATCTTAAAAAATAAAAAGTTCTTGGTTTGATTCTTGCTCCCACAAAGTTATTATTCTCTTGTCTTTTTCAACATTATAAAGTGGATTGTATGGGAACCATCTGTGTTCTCATTATTCCTTCTCTTCTTAGCATTTTGTAATCTGGCTTCCATAGTCATACTATCTAAAAAGTGAGCCAAAACCTACTTGAAGATTCATTAACTTTTTTGCAGCTCTCACTTTCCTTCTGAACCTTTTGGCAATGCAGATACCCTTCTTTGGTTTCCACAGTATCACATCAATCTGATTCTGTCCTCTTTGTAATTGTCTTGTATGCTTTGATTACTTCTCCATCTTTTATTTTTTGTCTTTAAAAAAAAAAAAAAACAAACCTCTCCATCTAATACATATAGGTATGACCCAGATTTCTGTCTCTAACTTTTCTTACAGTTACTCATCCCATTTTTAAACTGCTGGATACTTTTAAGTATCTTTCCAGTTCAAATAACCAGAAACCAGTCTTCCTCTTAATTTCCTTAATTTTTTAATGGCACTGTAATTCTTTGAGTCATTTAGTCTTATTTTCTTTAAGTTATTCTTTACGTCTCCCCATTTTCCTAATATACTTTTTTTTTTTTTTTTTTTTTGGTTTTTCTCCGGTACCAGGAACCGAACTCACGACCTTGCGCTTGCCAGGCAGGCGCTTTGCCGCTGAGCTAAACCCCCAGCCCCTCCTAATATACTTTTTGCCAGTTTACCTTGGTTTTGCTTTCACAGTTTGTTGCATTCATCATTCTTTGATTTCATTTCCATTGCTTTATTCAGTTTTCCATCATGTCATTAGACTCTTTTTATAGATTAATAACTTTCATTTGCTTTTATTTCATATTAATTCATTTCCTTTTCTACATTATTGCATATCCTGCTTTGACCTGTCAAGTTACTATTACTAAAATAAGGATTTGGTCACTTACTTGCTAGGAGATTATAAATAGTTACACAG